AGTTAAGCAAACATATATACAACAGGTTTAAGTAAACACTTCAATGATTACGATTGACGCTTATTTGACAAGTCGTACCGAGAATGTAGACTGCACAAAGCAATTTACGCGAATACACTTGGGTACGATGGAAAAACTGGCAAGTAAACATTGTACGTTGACAGAAAATTTACACATGCCCTCCGGGCATGTTATTTGGCAAGTTTTACATGCCCTCCTGCAAATTCACCAGGCCCCGGGCATCGGACTCCCGGGTTATTTCGAAGACTGGGGGGTTCTAGTGCTGGGGCGGGGCTAACTAGATTATATAGTGAAAATGCATAAATTCTTTGAAAATCTTCTCTGCTTCTGGGCATTGAATAAACTAAATAAGTACATAGTTATGTTGAATAAAGCTGCCTCTTCCAAAATTGTGAATTTCATGGCCCAGGGTCAGGGGTTCTTAGGTGCTAGGGTAGGGCTATATGGATTATATAGTGAAAATGCATTATTTCTTTGAAAATCTTCTTTGCTCCTGGGTATTTAATAACCAAACCGAATACATAGTTATGTTGAATAAAGCTGCCTCTTTAAAAATTGTGAATTTCATGGCCCTGGGTTAGGGGTTCTGATGTTTAAGGGCGGGGCTCTATTAACGATATAGTGAAAATGCAAAATTCTTTGAAAATCTTCTCCGCTCCTTGGTATTAAACAAACTAACCAAGTTCATAGTTATGTTAAATAAGAGTGTCTCTTCCAAAATTGTGAATTTCATGGCCCCTGGGTTGGGGGTTCTGGTGTTAGGGTGGAGCTTTATTGATCATAAAGTGAAAATACATTAATTCTTTAAAAGTCTTCTTAAATGAACTATAAAACAAGTACATAGTTATGTTGAATAAGAGTTTCTCTTCCAAATTTGTGAATTTCATGGCCTATGGGTCAGGGGTTCTGGTGTTAGGGCGGGGCTCTATTAGTAATATGGTGAAAATACATCAATTTTTTTAAAAATCTTCTTCTTTGCTCCTGAGTATAATCCAATGAACTGTGTACATAGTTATGATGAAGAAGGATGCCTCTTCTAAATTCATGAATTTCAGGGCCCCAGGATCAGGAGTTTCGGTGTTAAGACAGGGCTCTAATGAATATACATGTATAGTGAAAATTCATCAATTCTTCGAAAATCTTTTCCTTTGCTGATGGGTATTATGCCAATGTTCTAAGTAGATATTAATGATGATGAAAGGGGCCTCTTCCAAAATGGTTAATTTCAGGGCCCCTGGGTCAGGGTAATTGGAGTGGGGGTTACATAGTCTGATATTAAATTAATGCTTTGATATCTGCTTTTTAGTATTAAACAACCATTTATGATGATATAAAATTCATGATAAAATTTCCAGAATTTTGAAATATGAGCCCCCAGGTTCAGTGGTCCTGTAGGGTGGGGTGCACAACTGGTTATAAAGTGGAAATGCATTTTCTCTGCAGTCCATGTAATATACAATACGTAAGTAACCAAAGTAAGCAAGCTAAGTGTATAGTTATGATAAGCAATAGTGCCTCTTTCAAAATTTTGAATTTCACGGCCTTTGATTTAAAACACGAACGAATTCAATTGTTGGAAAGTTGTAACATGATAATCAGGTGACCTATAAGGCCCGTAGGCCTCTTGTTGAAGAATTAATGCATTTTCACTATTTAAACAATAGAGCCCCGCCCTAACACCAGAAGCCCTGACCCATGGGCTATAAATTTTACAATTTTAGAAGAGCATCCTCGCTCATTATAACTATGTACTTAGTTTGTTTGTTGAATACCCAGGAGCAGAGAAGAATATTTTCAAAGAATTAATGCATTTTCACTATATAACCAATTGTTGTTAAACAGTTGCAGAGACGAAGCTGAAAATGTTCAAATGTTAACGCACGACGACGGACAAAAATGGATAGCAATTGGTCACCTGAGTTTACCCAGGTGACCTAAAAATAAACTGACGTTGAATTGTCATTCTAATCAATTATCATCTTATTTAATTATAATTCCTTAGCCCATCTGTCGTCGAGTAAAACGCATGTGGGGATTATATTTCTATACAAATGATCGATATTGTGTACACTACTCTGAAAAACTGTGAAATTATATACTAAAGTTTCTCTTTATCACGTCATCTGGTGCTCAGGAACAAACAAGTAAATTTGTTGATCTCCTGACACAATGTTCCAGAGCCAAATCCTACTTTTCTTCGTGCACTTGACGACTCAGATTTATGTTTACATAATCAAGATTTTACCTATGCTTACGTTTATAGATAATTTCTTTTTTACTATATTGAGATTATGTTTCATCATAGGAAAGGGCTTTTGGACCCAACGCCTCAGGTTTGGCTTTTCATCGATCACTGCTTGTGCACTTAAGTCAACGATATGAATTATGTACCATTGTATTTAATTATTGATATGAAATAATGGACAAAAATCATCCATTTTGAGATTTATAAATATATATGAGAGATTTTGCTTTTGAAAAAGGAAACCCACACACATTAAGCTAATGGTGGCAAAAAGCGCATTTTAATAGCAGGAAATTTTTTTTTAACAATTACATGTGTATAGATTTTTTTCTTCTGAAATTAAAACACCTAAGTGCTGATGTAAGTGATTGGCATCTGATATTTCATGACAAGAGAATTATATCTCTGCTATCTTATTTCAAAAACAACAGGGAAGTAATGACAATCTAAGTGTTAGTTTACAGATGCCGCCACACAACTAAAAAGAAAATGACTTCAAATTGTTTACATGTGAAAAGCTTGAAATAAATTACATTATTATCTGAATTAAAACTAATTATAGGCCTTTTTCTTTAATAATTTGAACATGGGCTCTTTTTAAAATAGCCTTAATTGTTAACAAGCATCTTTTATTCATTTGGATAATTTTATTCAAAATCAATTATAATACCTGTCTTCGGTTTTGAAGATAAGTTCAGCTATTTGAAGTTAGATACAAATATTAAAACATTTTAGCTATCGTTTCATACTTACAGAATTTTGTTTGCATGAAAATTCAAGTCTTTATTTTATTGTTTGTTTGTCTACGGTCCCTTTGAGTATTTTCACTCATAATAAGATCAACAATTTGCTTGCTGCCAATTTAGAACTGTGTCCGGTGGCATTATGCAGCATATTGAGAGGTCTTTCTCGAAGCAGAACCTACTGCGACATGGTAGTCGTTCTATAAGTCCCATCCGATGGACCGGTCTTCATGTCATAATATACATTTGTGGTATCTTTCCATTATATAAACATACAGAGAGAAAAAATCTTCAATTCTGTTTGAAGTTTGTCAGAGGTCAATACATGGCCGAATCACAAGGCGCAATAATATCTACCGTTAGTTAGAAATATAAAATGACTTGCTTTTCATGTATAAAACTTAAAAAAAATAAGCAAGTAAAATAATATTATTGTTTTATTTTCAACGTAAACAAGTACTTCATACATTTTTTGACGATCGATTTAACCTGTGTACATAGATAATATATCGATAGAGGCTAAACTTTGTTTACGGGTTATCACTTTTGTCAGCTGCACAGTGAGTCCCTAACGTTTATCCATATTTTTGGTAGACTTTAAGTTAAATCTTCGTGATTTAGGCTAAAACTATATTTTTTCATTAAAATGTACTCACGATAAATATGTAAATCTGTTGGAAAATATCAAAGCATTGCAATCACGCCACGAACAGCTAAGAAACCTGTCGTACTTCAGTGTTATAGCTGTCGCCAGTGTCTCCGTGTTAACATCATAAATGTGCTTTTAGTTACTGAAATCGTGGATTGAATGTGTTTGATCAAATTTAACTTGATTGCAAGTTAACTGGCTCGGACAAGTGTATCTATCCATCGGATCCATGCATCCACTTTCAGGCGACCGAAATTCCTCCAACTTTTTCATCAATCTCGTCTGTCTTTTGAAGTTTTCAGCATCAATTATCAATTTTCACAAATAAAAATATTCCCAGACACGAATCTGTTCACTATTACTGTTCACATGTAGCCTTTAACAAGATATTCCCTTCGAAATAAAATTCTTGGCCTGACGAATTCGAAGCATAACCGCCTTTCAAGCCGATTTACACCTTGCGTACGTACTTTTGACGGAAATCTACGGCGACCGTTTAGTGCAATATTTATATCCGAATATATTTATTTTAATATTAAATTGTCCATCTCAAATGTATATATAAGTAATAAATAACAAGTTTATAAACGTCAATGGGAATTGAAGTGGGTCGGTACGTGATCAAATCATTTGAGAAGGCCTTCGGCCTTCACAGGATTTGATCACGTAACCGACCCACTTCAATTCCCATTGAAGTTTATAAACTTGTTATTTATTTCTTAATTGTGGATTCATACCCATGACGTAAGGCTCAACTCCTTACTGTCTTTAGTTTAAAGCGAATCTTTTAAACATTTTACCGCTTTTCCTCAAGGTGATCAATAAGACAGTTGAAGGGTTGCAATCCCAATATGTAAACGAAAGACTGGTCTTTTAACTTGCACTCTTGAAAGTTATCCTAGAAAGTGTCATGAACTCTTCATAAGAGTTCTGTCATTGTACTTAATCCTTAGTACTTAATCCATTATAAAAGATTGCTAAACATGAATTTTATTATATACCAATACATTTTCATTTTTCAACATATAAATTTGACACGCATTAAAAATTGTTATTAATTTGATATATAATGTGAATATGCATTGCCAATTTTATTTATATATGTACTAGTATGTGTACAACTTTACATAAGTTTTATCTGATGCTTTTTGTGTCATTAACACGGAAAACATTTTTTAATGATTTATAGAAATACTTTCAAAACAATTCATATATATCCACTTTGTATGATTTCTGCTTAATGCATCAGAACTCCGAATACATCAGAGTTCTATGAAAAATTGATTATAGTTCTGTTGACAAGTTTTTTGTTTAAAGAAAAATGACCAAATTCTCAAATGACTCAATGTTTCTTTTGCTTTATTTAAAGCCTGAAAATATATATAAAAACAGGAACACAAACAAATGAATTCACTCAGATATCAATATATGATTGTGTCGTAATTGCAAACCGGGATAAAAAATATTGCAGATTACCAATCAACCACATCTAAGCTCTTTATACATTAAATTATTTGAATTACCTCAAGCATGCACATCAAAATATTCTATCTCCAAATAACTATTAGTATTTACATGTTTTGTACATATATAACACAGTAAATTTGAAAAATGTTGAGCATTTAAGTTAATACAAAAAATTGACAAAACATCTATAAAGTGACAAAGAAGACAATACCAAACAATGATCAATCTACAAAGAATGCAGGGCAGAAAACAAGGACCCCTTAAAACTGCAGATATGAGATCAGGTGCCTATGAGGAATATTCCTCTCGACCAGTCAGATCCAACATGTCCCTACCAATTGATCACTAGACAGAATTACATGTATGTTGTCAAAATTAGTTAAGAAACAATGGCTTAGCTATAGTTTAAAGAGTATTAGACCAAATGTTGAGTAGCATTTTCAAAGAAGATATATTATGATGATCATAAAATTTTAAAAAGAAATTCTGACCAAGATAGTTGAAAGCGCTTTAAACTACATCAAGTTGTTTGTTAGTAGCTTTTCTCGGTTTAAAAATTTGATTATTCACAAAGTATATTCAGTGTCAAAAAAACACCTTATGCAGGATTGTTGAATATAATAAATGGATAATTTATGAAAGAAAAACTGACACCATCTCGTTTGTCGCACAATTTATTGTACAATACGTTATAAGCTGGCCCCCACTTTTCAGACCACGAAAGAAAAATCTTATTCGCCTTTCAGTTTGTCACAAAAAATTTGGGCATAACTTTTGAATGAGAAAGAGGGCTTCCTTTTTACCTTACCTGTTATAAGTCTGAATCTTAAATCTGTGATCATGCAATTCAACCTCCTATTTAAAAATTGTAACATTGCTTTACCTGTGACTAGACTTCTCGGAATGTATAGTAATATTTGATAGAAGAATTTGATGCATTTTTTTGGAAACTTTTGTTATAACCTTTATTGAAAATTGAATCTTTCTTTGTGTTGATTGTATGTTGTTTACGTCCCATTCTAGAATTATTCACTGATTTAGATACATGTACGTCACCATAAAGAGTTACAAAGATCTTACTCGGAACTCAAATCCATTGAGCAGTAAGAGATCTTAACCATGCCAACGCCTACAACGTGACCCTCGGGTTTTAAGGTCTCATCCAAAGGATCCGCAACTATCACTTCAAAGCGCTTATCGAGGACCAGTTCCTACCTATTTTTGATCTACTTAGGTCAGGAGAGGCTGAGATTCAAAATAATAGGCCTTCCGATCACGGAGTAAGCGCTCTACCTAATGAGCTACTGTGATTGCCGAATCTTTTGACACTGAATAGATACATGTATAACACGACACGTAGCCAAGCAACAAGACTCCGGTTTTGGGGATATCATTACCTTTGAATTTTCTTCGATTGCAATTTGAGGGTTAAATATCCTTGTACCTTAAATATATATTTCCTACTTTCGATCGTGTAAAAAGAAACGAAAGGGAAAACATTCATGTTTTACATGCATTTTATGAATTGTTGCTTTGAACACTTTGAAAGTGCTTTAGACTACACATTACTGAAGAATCTTAAAAGTCAACTCGTACTGTTGTCATTACTAAAATGTGTTATCTGTGTTAATTATTAAGTAGAACACCCAAAACCCAATATTGAACAGGATAAAAGTTAGCGGAAATAAAACTCTGGAGATTTTATCCACATGTCGTGCTCTCTTCCTAAAATCAATGTGCTTCAGAATCGGTAGCATCGGTGATGGTGTCGTCTGTGGAGAAAACATAATCAAACAGTGTTTAATTCATATCATATATAATTATGCATATCGAATACTTCCACTATTCTGTCAATCATTACTTTGATTTTTGGTTGATATGAATCTGGATGGTTTATTTTTTAGAAAGAAATTGAATCAAAAAAAGTTTTTTAGAATATAAAAGACGTAGTTATCTTGAGTTAAGGCAAACTTTAGAAATTTGATTTTTACCTTATCTCGTACATATGCAGTTTGTTATTATCAAAATACTCTTACACCATTCCATTAACATTGTTCTTTTTTTTCATTTTTACTTCATAAAATTAATGCAAACATGGAATATACGGAGATAAGAAACAGTATTCAAACTCAAAAGTCTATTCAAATCAGGTTCAGAGCAAAATCGGACCTCTGTTAGGATCAGTTGCCAGGAAGGAGTGAGCATCCCCTGCAGACCGGTCACACCCGCCGTGTGCTCTTTGTCATGAGAAGAAAACAATGGAAAAATAAGTGTGTAAAAAAATTTATTATGGAGAACGTCCGTCCGCAATTATTATTCATGTAGATTCATGTTTGCTGACAATGTCATTGTATCGTACGCGTCCATACAACTAACTTAATGATGACTTTAAACAAGACTCTTGTTATCATTTGTTGATGAACATCTTCGAATTGCGATAAACTCAGTAGGTTCATTCATTATCATCGTAAACTATAGGAAGATGATGGTTTCTTCAATCAGCTGTTACTATTATTATCTCTTTCATGAAGGCGCGCTACTTAATCTTATAACGGCTAAATTTCAAGAATCTAGAATTAAATATTTTATTTTCCATTTATTTGCCAAATTGAACATAAAGCATATTTTTATCAACTTTATAAATTTCTTCTGTATAGTAAAAATAACCTTAACATATTGTGTAGGGAACCATTTTGTTTAAATCTTACTTTACGCCTACCATATATGCTACGTAAATTTGGAAATATAACAGAGGTAATTTGGAAATATAACACAGATGTAAGCTTGTCAAGAAACTTGTATGGCACGCCCTCTGGTGAGAGATTTGGCGGAAACACAATGAAGATTGGGTACCTTTGGATACTTAATTACGCCTCTCTTTAGGGCCATTTCACACTGTGAAGAGGTACGGATTGGCCTCGACTTCCGTCTTGAAACGACATTTATATATGCAAATTCCAGGAGAGCCATGAAGACAAATGTAAGGCAAACTGACATCCAAACATCGATGGCTTTGATGTAAGACACTCGCGGTAGCGCACTTCGTGCACCGGAACTTTGTGTTGTCATGGTGAGAACTGTGAGGACACCTAGTGACACACGCGCCGGAATAGCGTCCATATCAACCCAGAAAGACACCCATGACAAAGTTACTATCAGTATGCTTGGAATAAATATCTGTGCAATGTAGTATCCAGTATTGCGCTCAAACTTGAGCTCAACAAGCAGACAGCCAAAGTCACCAACTGCAAAAACAAACACATCGGTATCAGATTCACAATTCTTTATGCATTCATTCAAATGAAGCTGAATTCAGACCCCTCCCCTAACAACTACCATGAATGAAATATCAATCATACAGGCACTTCCTACTACCCATTCCTATTGTAAAGGCTTTTAATTTCATTTGATAGTCTACTCATATTTTTAGGTCACGTACCTGAGTAAACTCAGGTGACCTATTGCAAACCGTTCTCGTCCGTCGTCGTGCGTTAACATTTGAACATTTTCAGTTTCTTCTCTGCAACCGCTCAAACACTTTCAACAAATTTTGGCATAAAGCATCTATCTTTAAAGGGGAACAAAAATTAAGAATTTCATGGTCCCTGTCCCCCCTGGGGGCTGAGGGGTGGGTTCAAACCCACTAAAATTAATGCAATCTTTAAAAATCTTCTTCACTCCTGGACATCAAGCAGTCAAACTGTTGACATGATTGTAATCAGCATTGAATCCTCTACCAAAATTGTGAAAATGGCACCAGGGTCAGGAGTTCTAGTATTGAAAATGCATTATTTCTTTGCTTCTCTGGGGCTTAAATAGAGTATGAAGTAAAAATGCATTATTTCTTTGAAAATCTTCTCTGCTCCTGGGCATAAAACTAGAGGTACTTTGAGCTATGAGCTCACTAAATGATACCCCCGCCTCCCATATGAATATAATGGCAGTGTCCATGTTTTGCTATGGTAAAACCAAAATATGAGTCGGATCAAAAAGTAAAATACATGTAGGAGGTGCATAATGGCAATATATTATAAAGATTCTGTAAAGTTTTATCAAATTTCATTCTGTGGTATGAGAGGAGTTGCGGATAAGAGATATGTACCCTAAAGCGTAACAGACGCTTCAACCCAAATCAATTGTTGGAAAGTTATTACATGATGTTCAAGTGACCTATAAGGCTGTGGGCCTCTTGTTCAGACCTGTTTGCAGGTGTCCGTCTGTTTGGGCCATGTTTTGAAAAATAAGGAAAAAAGAGAGTCATTCTAAATATTTAGAAAAGCAGTTATGTAATTATTTTAATAGTACTGTTGTCAAAACTATTAAACACATACATATTGGGTGACAAGTAAAAAAAATTGTGTTAAGAATTCTGTAACTTAATTATACAAAAAATTATTTTAAAAAAAAAAGTGAATGGGATTGGCATCAGGCAGAGACTATTTTAGCCCTCTCCTTACAAGGTCAAGTTAAAGACACACACCATACAGGTATAATACTAAATAAACAAACATACATGTAGTAGAAAAATAAACAAGAGAAAAGTAGAAAAAATTACAAAATACGTATATTACCGGTTAACTTAGGATATGTTGGTAGAAGTATCGTTTATATATACGACTATGTCAAATAAAACGTTTGGTTGCATGTACTGCTTCAAATCTTTGAATATAATACCTACTCCATGATTTAGACTACCATATAATAATCAATCAAGTTCTTGAATCTGATCACAATCGTTAATATTTTGGATTGTTTGGGAAAAGTACATTTCTGGGAAAGGAATTATGTTGTTGCAGATTCAGAATTGTTTTTCTATGCTTGTAAGCTCTGTTGTTGCAGATTCAGAATTGTTTTTCGAAAGAAAAGAGAGATTGGGATAGATTATTTAGATATGGTGTTATTTCTAATCAAATACATATTGTATTCCAACAGCATAAACATACCTTCCCCGTATTCTGTTTCGCATACCGTTGTTTTGATCGAATCGGGCATGTTAAACTGTGGCAGTGAGACAGGCGGAATTTGAACAGGTCTGTAGCTGGCCCAGTGGTAATCTATGTTTTCCTTCGTGTAACTATCTGAGTAAAAAAGGAAATGGTAGTCGACAATTATTTTTCTTTGAAATCCAGTGATGAAAATCGACGTTATACGTATTTGACACTTAATTTGGACAACTAGAACAATCTAAAACTGGACGGAGATACTCACAACTCTCAATGGTAATTGGACACACTTGTCTGTCTAGAGGGTAGTTCTGCAAGGCCATTGCACAGGATAGTGTCATCTCAATTCTACGAGGTAAATGACATTGCACTTAAAAGTAGACGAAAGATGAGCGTGTATTCTACAATTTACAATCTGTCAATGCAAATGCTAAAACTATTTGCATTTATACTTAAAAGTACGTGTATATAGTAGTTTCTAATAGTCCTTTATTAAATATGTACAAGTAATTATCCTTTTTTCTGCTTGAAAGGTTCGTCAAGGTTTTAGGAAGACCTTGAGTAAATGCTATATCTTATTTTCTAATACTTTATTTTGAAATGTGGTGTTTTGTTGTACCAGGAAGGACATTTAAAATCACCAACAGATATTAATTGATACTGGAGAAATTCTTGCCTCATGCTGTAGAATACGGTTCCATTCTCGTATATATGTAGGAGTTGGTTTGGAACAGTTACTTGGTGAATTGTTGCGCTCTTTTCTTTCGGAAAGTACGAATCTGGAACCCAAATTTTCTCAATCATCTTTTGAGAAAGCTCTAAAGAATTGATATTGGAATGATTAAAAACCAGACGCTTATCTGTCCACCTCTGCCTGAATATAACATCCACTGAGAAATCCTGTGTAGAAACGCAGAGAACATTAACAAATACACAAAATACCAATTTTAAAAAGACTATACATGAAAGCAATAATGTTGGTCTTTATAAATCTTTCTTAATAGCTTAACGTTACGTGTATAGCCATACAACATAAGCCTACTAGTATTTATATTACATAGTTCTTAATAAAAAAGAATTTTGAATTGATACCAAATGCCCACTTACCATACGAAGTTCATCAAGACTGTGTATATTCTTGATAATTAGTTGAACGGAAATATTTGTTGGGAAATCTACAACATTTAAGCAGAGGAATTATCTTAAATTCAAAATAAAAACTGAAGTTCAACATTTTTTATTCATTGATCAATGTTGATACTATTGTTCCATTATCATCAAATTCAAAACCATTATCTGGACGAGGTACAGGAAGCATATCAGATGTCTTTCGAATCTATCGCAACTAGTATTTAGAAAACACTTATACTAATATTGTACTTTATTGTCAAATAATCCATTAATGTGTTTATCTTTTCAAGATTATGTTACAGACCATAACTATTGCTTTTAAGACGATTGCAATGGGATTTCATGATGATATTGACATTTTTTAACTGTGTGCTGTTGTTACGATATTATTTTGCTAAAATCATGCGATGAAAATGAGAACTTTATATGATAAAGTACATGTACATGTTTGTGATATTTTAAAAATCAGTCATTATATAAAGAACAAAAAGTAAATGGCTATTGTTCAATTTCTTAAAATCCTGGTGGAGTAGTTCGCAACAAATATCAAAATTTGCAACTTTTTTTCTCTATCTTTGCCCAGAAAGGTATAAATCAGGTATTTAAGACCTAAGCCTAAATTTTGAAAGATGAATACCCCTTACCATCTTCGTAGTTTGGAGCAATAAGAGGATCATAGCCAGAGTCATCCAGCAGATCGTGCAAAATTTCATGTCTGAAATAGTAAAAAAAACATACACTATTTCATCTCATGGATGCAATGTAATACTTCTAATGACGACAACCTTATCCCTTGTGTTAAGTTGATTGTCAAACTATTTTCTTTTCATGACATTGAACATAAAATATCGGGTGATCTGTTACCTTGTCAACTCCCCGCAGCAACCATAAAACTGAAGGAATATCATCACAATAAAGATCATCTTCTACACGGACACAACGACAGGGGATCATCGGGTGTCCTAGAGAGAGAATGGGGTTTCATGTGTTAGAGAAATCTTGGTGATTCCATTAGAATCTCAGTTAAATTTCACTCTTGTTTTGTGATTCCTGTATGAAAAAAATTAATGTAGTTTGAATAATATTTTTACATTATTTAAAGAATAGATGCAATGCATTACAAAGGTACATAATATTTTACGGGCACTTAAATCTTCATATAACATATATTTATATGATTACATGTGTGTTTAAAAAACAAAATGTATTAGCTGATTTTTCGACGACAGTTTTTAGAAACTGTTACAAATTAAAGAGGCGACATCATTTGCTTTAAAATGTTTCATAGGTTCTTGACGCAGCCCTTCATTCCAACACAAATGAGTTCCCTTCTCAAGGGGACCATACCAAGTCAAACGCTGGTCAAAATCTCATTTGAGCTTTCAACCTTGTTTAGCAAACTGCTTTTTTGACTTTTCTGTAGTAGAGGTTGATCTTCAAGAACATTAATGATTTATCAAGTACTTGCTCTCTGTTGAAAGATGTAAACATTGAGTTTGTAGGCAACACGCACTTTAAAGGAGTAGACTAGCTCAGTTAATCGATTGATATATTATATTATAATTGAATCGATATGTTCTGTTTACTTTGAATAATATATTTATTAACAAATTTACAAATTCAGCAATATTAAATTTGCAAGAAAATAAAGCCGTGAAGCTAGCTAAGAGCCTTATTTTAATCCCTCTCTAATTAATATCTGTAATATATATCGTGTGAATGTTCATAATGCATTATCATTATGCTTTAATGGTTATATTGATATACTTTAACGTCTAGTTTTGCCATAGTTTCTGCGAGCATCAAAGGAACACTCAATTCATATTTATGTTTGGATCCTTGCTAATTTTTTCGTACGTCAACGTGTGGATTGTAAATCATGAATGTTTGCTAATGTCCGTCAATCCCAATTTTTCGTAAAAACAGCTCTTTATTTGTTTTTTTTCATTCAATGAATATCCACAATACACGATAATACACGGGGAGGGATCAGATGCCTGGCAGAAGTAAGCATCCATTGTTGACCAGACATACTCGTCGTAATCCCTATGGCGTGCACTGAAGGTTATACATGATAGATAACTTTCATTCTAAATCAGTATGATATTTTTGAAAAAAAAAACAAAAGGTTAAATAAGCTTATGACTCACATGGGCAGCTGTTGATATAGCTATAACTCAAATTTTATTTAAATAAAAAGATCAGAACATTTTTTTTCTATTAAGTATACCAAACATTTAAATTTGTGGGTTTTTTCTTTTAAATATCCTGATTTGATGTTGAAAGCAGTGTTTGGTAAGAGGATAATACCTGAGTCATATTTCACCATTCAATAAGAGCTATCCATTTGTTAAATTAAATTATCCAAATATTTACATTTCATAATTAATATTGTTGAACAATATTGCACATTTAACACAACTATAACTCTTTTAAAGCACTACAAAAGTAAAGATCAATGCTCATTATCTGTCCTGAAAGAGCGATGTTTACAGAATCTGAAACAATCGTTAGAAATCCTTCTGAAAAAAGCTCTTTTCATCACAATCTGCTCTCTCTGTTGATGTTAATTTGGATCTTTTTACATTTGAAATAGAGACTGAAAAATAAATTTGAGAGTTCTATTTAATTAAAAGTAATTTTTTCTGTCGTTTATGTACCACTTAAATCTACATGTTAATTTCAGTAATTATATAAATAAGAAACTATTGCTTTTTCCATAATTATAAAATAGATAGATTAGAAAGCAGAAATAATTTTGAGACCCATATATGCTCTTTTTCTCGAGGGGGACGTTAAACAATATATAATTAATCAATCATTACTTTGCTCCAAAAACTATGTGACGTTTTTTGCGACGTTTTTGACTTTTGTATATTTGTTAGCAATATTATATACCATGTTTTGCAAAATGTATAATGAAATGTCTAATGTAATAGTATAATGTTTTAATGATAAGGCTTGTCATTTAAACACTTCTTAGCGTTCACCAACAAAATAAATCTTATTCAGTTTTATTTACTTTTGCCTTAAACACCCAATTTTATGTTAACGCCCCCAAAATCTACCTGATTCAAGATCAATAATTTACCGCCTGTCAATCATTAAAAACACAATAGCTTCTGATTTGATTGACAGAAATACTCTGAGTTTGCATGTTTTGAAAACAATTACCTGGTCACGCGTCTAACGCTTTCATGTACCCGCATAGTATACACGGGGGTTAGAAAAATAATATGTTTGAATTTTATTTCAAACAAAAATTGAAAGTAGATTATTAAAACATTGACATAATTATTTCGAATAACTATTTCTTTTTTATCTTCACTGCTGTTTGTTACTTGTAAGTGTTATATCGTCCACGTATCTGTAGAAAAAAGACCGCGTCCACAGAAACAGGCTCTATTTGCCGTAATTGGAAGTCCGACGATTTAAATTATTTTTTAAAGAATTAAAGAAAAATATTCAGCACTAATAAACGGCATAGCATAGTTTTTAAAATATGTTTTATTTTGTACTATGGCTACAATCCGCACGATGTTGTACAGAAATTGATGTCAGAATTAATGCTCGAATTTCCTTAGAGTCTGTATATATACGTACATTTTTCCAAATTTTGTTAAAACACGAAGAATCAAAATTATAAATAAAACATTGTTGGCCAGAAAAAAAAAAAACATTTCGATTGTTCACATGCACGACGGATAGGTGGATTAATTATTTTTTATTTCAATATTCAGACTTTTTAAACCAAGTGACTTCTTTCACTGAAGATTAAAAAAGATAAATTTTATTGATTTGTAGTTTTTACTCGTGATTTTTAGCTCTACTGGTCAGAGACCAGAAGAGCTTATGCGATAGTAAGGCGTCCGGCGTCCGTTTGTCTGTCTGTCTGTAAACAATTTTTCAAAATGCTACTCCTCCTACAGTTATGGTCTAATTTCAATATAACTTGGCACACAAGTAGACTACATTAAGATACATAATTCTGTGTATCGGTTTTTGATTTCAATGAACGGTGTTGCCGTGGTTACTATAGAAATTTCTGTGAAATTCTTTCAAAATGCTTCCTCCTACAGTTTTGGTCTGATTTCAGTATAACTTGGCACACAAGTATAAATTAAGATACATAATTCTGTGTATCGGTTTTTGATTTCGATGAACGGTGTTGCCGTGGTTACTAAAAATAGAAATTTCTGTGAAATTCTTTCAAAATGCTACTCCTCCTACAGTTTTGGTCTGATTTCAGTATAACTTGGCACACAAGTAGAATACACTAAGATACATAATTCTGTGTATCGGTTTTTGATTTCGATGAACGGTGTTGCCGTGGTTACTAAAAATAGAAATTTCTGTGAAATTCTTTCAAAATGCTACTCCTCCTACAGTTTTGGTCTGATTTCAGTATAACTTGGCACACAAGTATAAGATACATAATTCTGTATATCGGTTTTTGATTTCGATGAAAGGTGTTGCCGTGGTTACTAAAAATAGAAATTTCTGTGAAATTCTTTCAAAATGCTACTCCTCCTACAGATTTGGTCTGATTTCAGTATAACTTGGCACACAAGTAGAATACAATAAGATAATAATTCTGTGTATATTTCGATGAACGGTGTTGCCGTGGTAACTAAAAAATAGAAATTTCTGTGAAATTCTTTCAAAATGCTACTCCTCCTACAGTTTTGGTCTGATTTCAGTATAACTTGGCACACAAGTAGAACACACTAAGATACATAATTCTGTATATCGGTTCTTGATTTCGATGAAAGGTGTTGCCGTGGTTACTAAAAATAGAAATTTCTGTGAAATTCTTTCAAAATGCTACTCCTCCTACAGTTTTGGTCTGATTTCAGTATAATTTGGCACACAAGTAGAATACACTAAGATACATAAATCTGTGTATCGGTTTTTGATTTAGATGAACGGTGTTGCCGTGGTTACTAAAAATAGAAATATCTGTAAAATTGTTTCAAAATGCTACTCCTCCTACAGTTTTGGTCTGATTTCAATATAACTTGGCACACAAGTAGAATGATAATTCTGTGTATCAAATTTTAATTTTGATGAACGGTGTTGCCGTGGTTACTAAAAATTGAAATGTCTGTAAAATTGTTTCAAAATGCTACTGTTTTGGTCTGATTTCAATATAACTTGGCACACAAGTAGACTACACTAAGAACATTCTCATTATTCTATATATTGCTGTTGTAAAGTTTCAAATCCCAGCTGCTTAAGTACTCTTCTCTTCCTTTGCTATAAGTTAAAACCAGTAGAGCTTCAGTCTCGACAGAGACTTCTGGTTTCTTTTATGTAAGGAAAACATTTCCTAAAACGATATGTATACATGTATCTTATTATTTTTTTTCCCCTTCAAAACATTACCATGATTACGATGAATGCGTTTAGTTTACAAATAAATTTCATATTAAAATAATTATTTTACGTAGTTTCACTCAAAACCAGACACAAAACACGTAATGTTGACCCTGATTACCAAACACAGACTTCCTGTGTAATGCTATGTATACACAGATTTTTGACATCTTGGGTATAGGGGGTCTCCAGGTAAAAAGCACCACTGTAACTTCGACCACTCCCCCTCCTCAGGTAACCGTACGGTAAAAAAATTGGGTCTTTAAGTGTCTATAAAAATGAGCATTTTATTATACATGCATATGTTCAGTACTCTACAGTGATACTGATTTATAGTACATGTATAATCAATTTCTCATTTCTTTTTCTCAAAATCTAAATATGAGCACCCCTTTCGCAAACATTGTCAACTATTTATTTTGCCATTATTTCCAGACTGAGATAATACAAGGGTAAACGAACTCCTAATATAAAGGGGCAGAATTCATTAGAAAAAAAGAAGTGATCACGATGTCAATTGGTATTTGACAATAACGAACACAGGGTATCGCGACTGCAAACAAGATGTCAAGTGAACGATAATAGACGATTGATTACACGCTTACATGTTCTTTAGGAGCGAAAGTTTTCCGATCTTAAAATAAAATTATATGCAAAATGGGAAAGATTTAAAGAAATAGTGGTGTAATGTTGGCTTAGGGAAAGATGATGCAAACTTTTGTCATAAAAATTGAAAATAACAACTTGAGTCATGTTTTAATGAATAAAGTGAATAAGTTTCACTGCGCAGTTTTTAATCTTTTATTCAAAGTTTAAAACAATAATGGGATTTGAAGTGAAAACTATTTGTATAGATTAATAAGGATGGTTGCAGAAAGGTGGAATTTTTAACATCATAGAACGTTTACAATTTCTTAATATTTTAAAAATATATTGTTTGAATTATTTGCAACAAAAATGGGCCAAGAAATATATACCAATTCAAGCATCCATTTTTTGTATCATCTCTCCTTAAACACTTATAAAATTATCACTAACTTGCAAAACTTGTTTGATATTGCATGTTTTCAACATAAACCATATTTTCTCCCATTGTTAAATGCAGTTACTGAATAATATATAAGACTGTGTACAAAAATCAGGAAAAGATTTGTCCAGAATCAATTTGTGCTCGCTTGAAAGTAGGCGATATTGTGATGGATTTTACAGTTTATTTATCAGTCCTAATATTTAGCAGACACACGAATTAAAATTCTGTAAACAGTGAATAAGACTTCATCAGGAAACAAACTTATCGAGTCAATATTTCAGTGTTTGGACACACATTTGTTTTCCCACAGAGTAACGCTACGTCCATACAACTATGCATGTGTTTACTTCAACATAAGAGACAAATCCTTTCTCAGAGCATACATGTAATTCTAAATTGACCCCTTCAGTAAAAAGAATTTGCGTACCTGATGTAAGGTCATGTAAAAGGTCAAGGTTAGTAAGCAATGCGGTGGAAAACTAGTGTTCGGACAACTACTCTGGGAGCCTTGTTGAGAGTATATTTGTAGCCTAAAGGTGTCTAGAATCATCAGCACATACTTTAAAGATCGGTTTTAATTGTTATTTGTTTGGGGCAAAGGCATCATTTCCAAGAGAAACTAACTTAAGCTGACACTTTTAAGACTGGCAATGAACATATAGAATTAAAACATGATCAATGTTTAAATGCACATGGAGTCAGTATACAAGTAAAACATTTTAGGTACCAATTTCATAAATATATAAAAAATAATACATATTAGTAAGATATATTTATTGTGCATCAAACTGCAGTGTGTGTATAATGCATCAACGTGTGCACATACTTAATTGCTAAAGACGCTAACTTTTACACTAAAGACGCTAACTTTTACACAGTGTACATGCATGTACAAGTACTTACTATAAACAGTTGTCTGCGACAAACCATCCGCTGTTCATACACATTATTGTCACAAGCCATCTGCTGCCATGCAGTGTATGACTTATACTAATTTATAGATTGTTTTCCATAATTTTTCATTTGCATGCACTTGCGCCCCCTCTGCAGTGTTCAAGAATTACGTCCTAATCAGTTACCAAAGTCCTGTTATAAGTCAAAGTCAAAACACTATCCTGATTATGTATGACGTGGAGTCAAACGGAAATCCCAAATATGCAATGAAGCCTAGAATTTTTATTCTGTTCGCTTCATAAAGTATTCAGCAACAAGGCTGAATATTCCCGGCACTCTGTCGATCTGATGATACGTATCCTCAAAGCAATATGATATTATATCTTTCCTCAAAAGGTTCAATTTGACGTATAACCGCCGTGAGGTATTGTTTGTATTCACCTGAATACATAGAAACACAATAAACTGTCCTACAAACTATTTTTGTTCAAATGCGATTCAGAATTACATGCAGATGCAAATACTGGAATCACCTGGCCGAGCAAGGCCATCAGGTGAAGATCAAACCGATGTTTGGTGAGGTCAGATAAAGAGTACAATACTGAAAACGTCTGAATGATCAGCCACTCAACATAAGCAACGGAAAATCTATCTGCAACAGCTGTCTAAAAAATAGGTTATAAGCGCAATTAGATTATTTTCGTTTATTCCAATGAGAACATATATTTTCATCGTTTATATCTACATGTTTCTGTTAGAAGTATAAAAATTATAAGCTCTTTGACTTAATTACTGGTATATTTGCAACATATGCTTTACTGAATAAAATACTTCGTGTAAACTTTTTCATGCTTGCTAAGAGCTTCCGATCCTTTACTCCTCTAGCATGGGATTCTGATCCGCTAAACACTGACATATATGTTTCTGATCCGCTACTCCCTCGCCAAAGGATGCGGATCTGGTACTCACAGTCGTGGGGTTCTAGTCCGCTAAGTATTCTCCATACAATCCTTGTGTTTAAAAAGAATCGCAAATCAGAAACCCCTGGCTAGTAAAGATGGCATTTTACTTCCCTGATAAAAATATGACAACAACTATAAACAATAAGAATCAGAAGTCTCTGTCGAGACTGTAGTTCTACTGCATGGTTTGTACTTATGATTAAGGAAGATAAAAGAAGCAGTTGGGACTTAAAACTTTACAAAAGCAATAAATAGAAAAATAATCCTTGATAAATTCTTGTTTCTGTGGCAAGACTACAATAAGACTGCAATTAACAGACTGTAGGACCGAGTAGCTTTTAATAAAACTTAACAGAATTTTCAATTTTAAATACCATGGCAACACCAATCATCAAAATCAAAAACAGAAAACTGATAATTATGTATCTCAATGTAGTATACTTGCATGCGAAATTATATTACAATCAGACTAAAACTGTACTTGGAGTAATATTGAAAGTATTTCAAAGAAATTTCTATTTTCAGTAACCAAGGCAACATCGTTCATTGAAATCAAAAACCGATACATAGAATTATGTACCTTAATGTAGTCTTCTTGTGTGACAAGTTATATTGAAATTGGACCAAAACTGTAGAAGGTTTAGCATTTTAAAAGTAGTTCACAGAAATTTCTATTTTTAATAACCATGGCAACACGGTTCAACGAAATAAAAAAGCGATACACAGAATTATGTATCTTAGTGTAGTCTAGTGGCCAGGTAATATTGAAATAAGACCAAAACTGTAGGAAGAGTAGCATTTTAAAAGTACATGTACATGTATTTCAAAGAAATTTCTGTTTTTAGTAACCACGGCAACACCGTTCACCGAAATCAAAAACTGAAATACAGAATTATGTATCTTAGTGTAGTAGTCTACTTGTGTGCCAGGTTATATTGAAAATCAGACCAAAACTGTAGGAGGATTAGCATTTTAAAAGTAATTCATAGTAATTTCTTTTTTTAGTAACCACGGCAACATTTTTCAACGAAATCAAAAACCAATAAAAAGGATTATGTATCTTAGTGTAGTCTACTTGTGTGCCAAGTAAATTTGAAACCAGACCAAAACTGTACGAGGAGGAGCATTTTGAAAAATTGTTTACAGACAGATACACAGACGGACGGACGCCGGACGCATTACTATTACATAAGCTCTTCTGGTCTCTGACCAGTAGAGCGAAAAATTAAGACTTCCATTTAAACGAATTTACAAATCAGAAGCTACATAAGTGTCGTGGTGGAATAAGCATCCTGTGTCGACCGGTCACACTCACCGTTTGCTCCTCGTCATGATCGGGAAAAACAGAAAAACCTGTAGATAATTTAGTGTTTAAACAGTGGCCTAACATTTAGTATGAAAAATATCAGACAATGTTCGACTTTATTACAGATCAACTTGTTTGTCAATAGCTTACCTAGTTTTAGAAATTGATCGTACGTAGAGCATTTGTATCCAATAGATCTGATATTCTTAAAAATAGATCAAGATGAGGAAAAGGTAACAAAAATTTATGGAACGCCAAATTAACATATATTTAAATATTTGTACCTATCTTCAGATAATTGCACCTATCTTTAAGTAATTGTACCTACATGTATCTTCAATTCATTTGAAGAAATAATCAATTCATTTGAAGATATCTTCAATACATTTGAAGATGTCTTCGATTGAATTGAAGATAGGTGCAGATAATTATATCTATCTCCAAATGATTATACCCATAGGTACAAATTAATTATACCTTTCTTTAATGGAATTACACCTATCTTCAAGATAGGTTCAGTTGAATTATACCTATCTCTAACTCATTTGAAGATAAGTATTACTGATTTAAAGATATGTACAATTGATTCAAAGATAGGTGCAATCGATTTGAAGATAGGTTTAATTAAGACATATCCACAAAGGATTTGAAGATAGCTACAATTCAATTATACCAAGGTACAATTCGTATTGTGTTCTTGAAAATAATGAACGCTCATTTGGAGACAATATTGAACATGGAGGGAAACGCACAAAACCTACAAAGCGACGACAACGAGGATAAAAGGAGAAATAAAAGTAAATTAAAAATGTGCAAAAAGCATAATATACTCATTGAAATATCAAGTATATCAATAAGTGAGCGAAAAACATATACCGGAAATGAGGTATGATAAAAGGAGTAGTTATTATTGCCAATATCTTAGTAATTACAGATAATTTCATTTCAATTGTACCTATCTTGTAATCAATTATACCTATCTTCAATTCATTGGATTTGTATCTATCAAATATATCTTCAAATGAATTAAAGATATAATTCATTTGAAGATATAGATACAATTGATTTAAAGATAGATAAAATTCATTTGAAGATAGGTACAATTTATTTGAAGATAGGTGCAAATATTTGATTATAAGTTGATTTGGCGTTCCAAAAGATTACCCATGGACCATTTCATAGAAATTGGTAATGTTTGTTTGTTAAAACTAGAAAATCAAACAATAAATACATATATAGTACAATGACTAATACTAACCGATACCATTGTGCTTTCGGTTCATGTAAGTTAATAATTAAAAGTAAGACGGTTGTCCAGGCCCTTTGCTTTTCCGTTGAAGTTAAATCGGAACACATTTAATTTTCATATCGGACTGAAACCATATCCGTACGTGTTTAAACTGCACTATATGTTATTAATGACTTGTAAGACTTATTTATTATTATTTTTTTTTAAATCGTTGATAAACAAAATGTATGTTAATGTTTTCAGAAAAAAATAATGTGTAAGTATCAGAGACTACGGTTCAAAAAATAGTGTTCACAATAAATTACTAAATGGATTCACTATACGACGTTCTGCGATGGAAAGACCTTTATAGCTCCCATAAGATTAAGAATGCCGCGGGACAAAGACTTGTACATGGTTCCTGGTAATCAGGTCCAATATATTTGTAGAAGCAAAAAATTAGTTTTCTTTATCCATTAATCTGAATAGAGAATAATGTTTATTGGATTAAAATGAAACAGAAATAGTTCTCATCATCCAAACAATAGAGAGACTAAGCTGTCCATCGTGGTTTACAAAAAATTCAGCTAGATATTGTTTCAGTTGCCAGCTTAGTTTTATACCACAAAAGCACCGTTCTCCAAAAACCAAATTCACTTTGTGATGAAGTCAACTCAATTTTTCCTACAAATGAATTAAATTGTAATCGTCTGATATGCTGGAGACCAGCATGACTTAGACCAAAATCTATCTCAATTTCAGATTTTTATTCCTATTAATAGTTTTCTCGTGGTTTATAATTACATGCTAGGACTTTTTATGCCCCCGTAAAAGAAGTTTTGGGAGTATATAGTTTTTGCCGTGTCCGTCCTTTTGTCTGTCTGTCTCTCTCTCTGTCTGTTTGTCCGCAAAAACTTTAACCTTGCCCATAACTTTTGATTTAGCGGAGCTACATGTATGACTTTCATATTTCACATGTGTATTCCTTGTGACAAGACCTTTCTTTGGGTACCACCAAATTTGACTTTTGACCTTGACCTTGGAGATTGACCTACTTTTGCACAAAAATTCCGAACGTTTACATTGGCCATATCTTTTGAACAGTAATAGCCAGGACTTTTATACTTCATATATGGATTTGTTGTGGCAAACCCTTTATTTGAGTACCAACAGCTTTGACCTTTTGACCTTGACGATTTTTGTACTTATGAAAAAACTTTACCTTGATCATAACGTTTCAACGGTAAGGGCTAGGGCTTTCATACTTCACATATGTAATCCTTGTGAAAAGACGCTTCATTGGACACAAAGAACTTTGACCTTGACCTTGGAGTTACACATAGAGTGACCTACTTTCCTAATACAACCTTGAAAATAATTTTTGAAGGGTTAGAACTAGGGCTTTCATACTTGACATATTTAATTCTTGTGACAAGACCTTTCAACTGATATCGAGAACTTTGAACTTGACCGTGGAGTTTGACCCATTTTTACATAAAAAATCAAAATTTTTACGTTGGCCCTAATTTTAAACGGTAGATACTGGAAAATTCATATTTCAAATATCAATTCTTTGTGGCAGGACCTTTCATTTGAAATCAACAATTTTGACCTTGACCTTGGACATTTCTCACGAAAAACTTTAACCTTGACAATAAGTTTTGAATAGTCAGGGCTAGGGTGTTCATACTTCACATATGTAATTCTTGTGATAAGACCTTTCATTGGATGTCAACAACTTTGACCTTGACCTTGGATTTTGACATACATTTTACAGACTTTAAATTTGGCCTTAACTTTTGAACAATAAGGGCTAGAGCCATTAACTTGCTCCAAAAAACATTAACCTGGTAAATCCTTTGCTGAAATTGCAGCACCTGAATCCTTGGCTGGTACAATGAAACATACTAGAATTATCCTTCCTGCATTTCAGAAATTCTGACTGATGTAGGGCATCAAACTTTAACCTACTCCAGAAACATTAATCTGGTCATTCTTTTGCTAACATTACTGATCTGAAACCTTAGCTGGTACAATGAAACATACTAAAGGACTTTTGCGAGAAGCACTGACTGTTACAATTGATGGCTTACTTT